AATGACACACAATTATTGATATTTTAAAATGTTAGTTATATTGTAAGCTGTGATCATACATCGTAAATTCGCTACATAGAATTTTGTATGCTGTACATTATATTTCTAGTAGCTAAAGAACTATAAGAAAAGGATTTATTCAGTATTTGATAATTCCAAGATACCTATGCCTGTGGTGTGTAAGTGACTAGTACCCCGTCTTAGCCTTGATGTTACACATTTATTCCTCTTGATCGTTTATTTTTGCAACAACTGCTTTATATGTCATGGAAATTTCAATGTCACTCTGACTTTTTAATTTGCACGTTTGGAAGAACGACAGTCAAAATATTGGCTCCAGTAATGTATAGTTAACATATCAACGGAATCACTTTAATTCCCACTCTCAACACAGACATTCTTTGTATACAAACTGATAATGAGTACTGGTTTGCAAGATATTGCTGGTATTTTGATCCATTTTCATTTTTCGCCACCAATTAAACCATAGGACATTGACACGGCTCTAAAATCTACTGTGTGTCCAAGGCTTACAGCATAGAATACAATTCAGATAAATTAAGGCAACAGTAATTTACCAATGTTCAAATCTCATAACTCGATTAAGAAGACAAATCAAGGTAACACACAAAAACTGAGGGGTTTGCATGAACTCCAAAAGAAGCAAGAACGAGTACGTCGATAGGGTAAGCATGTCTTGCTATACATGCATCTCCTGTCATGCAAATCGATACTACTTAATCAAAATATCACAATCCGGAAATAGGACACAATCGATAAAGCGTTTTATTTATGTTTGATAGATAATCATTTGGTTTATGTACAGTTAATATTTAACGTTATACAATTAAGTATCATCTGAAGTATAAGTATAAGAATAAATAAATATATAAGAATAAGGAAATTGATATAAGGGTTAGGATTACGACTTACATTTAAAGTAAGGGGAACTAAAACGATTCTTATGACATGTTAACAGTACTCTTCTGGAGGTTTGTCGCCGTTCTTCTAGACGTTCAAATTGAATAAGCAGCGTTACGTCGAATTTTCCATGAGGTAGGGCAACTGTTGCTGAGACATACACAAGAGGAGTGACTCAGTGATATCAGGCTATGGTGAGATCAGTTCAACAACAAAAAATTCACATTCCTCAGATAAATATATGCGGAATAATTGCATTTTTGTTTTTAATACTGACTTTCTTAGCAGGAAAATGAAATCAGTATCAAAAAATAAAATGCAATCATTCTTTTTATCGGCAATTTGTCTTAATCATATGTTTTTGGTTGAGAATATGAAATAAAATAGATTAGTTAGTAAAACTATTTTTACGCGTACAAAACGTTGTGATAGTTGTTCGGTTGTATGAATGAGGTTGCGTGCATTTCATTTGATAAATTGACGCGATGAACATGAACACGTGACGTTGCTGCACTGATACATGATGGCATTGCCTAATATTTTCGAGTATCAAGTCCTGTTCATGATCTTGAAAATATAAGGCAGTAAGATAAAAGGGAAAACGTATAAATGGCCGATAATTGGATTTATACGTCACTAGAATGAATTGTAATTTTGATTTCCTAACATATTTTAAAGGAAATGTCGTAAATTGTATTGAGTAGTATGATATGTTAAAGTCAAAAATGCAAAGTAATTTTAAATGAAAACACAATTTTTTTTTTGGAATCAACAGTAATAAGTAGATAAAATTCTCGTTGTTCTTGTATACTAGTAATTCTATTTCAATATTAGTTTTTCAGTTAAAATATTTCTTGATAACACGAAATCTCTTTCCACTCAATGTTTTGAAACAGATTTGTTTAACTAATAATGTCCACATTGAATTTCCTGATTTCAAGAAAATATTCTTCTAATATTTTAGATTTAAGAATAATTTCATGATTATAAGTCGGCCATAAACAATTTATCTTAATTTAAACCATTGTCGTGACGTCAGCCTATTCATTTACCGTGGATTCTTTTTCTAGAATTAACGCTTCCCAATTCTTTAGCTGAAATGAGCTCACCAAATTATTTCATTAAGTTTGAATTGGCTAATTTACTTATTTCTGTTCACTAATGGAGTGAGTTTAAAAACTTACCTTTAATTTTTGTAATTTGTATATGCCTTCACTGGGAATCGAACTCCTACTTGAAAACTGTTATGTGTGACTGACATCAACACATCGACGAAATCTCTCGGCTTCCTATGGGTTGCAATATTAATTTAGATGTCTCTCTCTCTATATATATATATATAAATAAATGAACATATGATATTCATCGGTACAACGGACATACAGGGCTTGTACCTTTATATATACATAATAGACAATCGTATAGTATAAGTTGGTAGCCGCGAGGTTAACATGGTAAAGATCAATGATTTAAAGAGTCTTGTTATAGGTAGAGACTTGTCGGTTTAGGTTCGAATCCTTGTATTCTCTTTGTTGCCCCTATTCATTAGTTTTTCCGTTTTTCTTATTATGTATGTTATTGTGGATATTTTTGGAATAACAGCGAGTTTTCCCGTTTATTTATGGATTATTATTGGCTATTTCACATATTTGAAAAGAAAAGGATTACATTTAATTTGTCCATTTTTGTTTTATAAATATAGTGTGATTTCATCTGTTTTACTACATATCTTTATAAATGTTTATTCGCAAATCCCTATGAGAGTAAATCGTAAGGTGCCTAAAATTAACCTTCTTGCTAGAAATTTCGGTAACATACTTATTTTCCTGTTTGAATTGTTTTACACTAGTCATTTAAGGGCTCTTTATAGCTTGCTGGTCAGTGTAAGCCAAGCTAAGACTCCGTATTGAAGGCCGTACTTTTACCTATAATTGTTTACTTTTTACACATTTTGACTTGGATGGATAGTTGTGTCATTGGCACTCATACCACATCTTCTTATTAATATATATTATATATACTTAGAAATAAGTTCGAATATGTCTTATTTTGAAAATTTCGGATATTATTCAGATGCCTGATAATTTAAAGACAGACGTGTTATGTTATATTTGTATTTCTCTAACTAATTAATTGTGAACTTATATTTATTAATGCAACGCTGAACACAATACCTACTAATTAAGAAAATGCTTTAATTTTGAAAAGACATCAACACAATAGTTAGAGATACAATGATAAGCGTTGATTCATGAAAAACAAACCATTCGCCCTCCTCAAGAATCAACGCTTATTTATTGTATCTATAATACGTAATCCATACGATTTCTTTCTAATTTTTATTAATAAAACATGTAGCCACATTGAATACCCATTGGTGGCCTTAGGTTGTTGACTGCTCTATGGTCGGGTTGTTGTCTCTTTGACACATTCCCCATTTCCATTCTCAATTTTATCATATGAAATTATTCAATCCATAATTCTGCGCATGTCAATAAAATCATTAGTATCTTTGTAACATTATAAATAAATTAAACATTGACATTTTTATTATGTTTCACGGTCAGAGGTAAAGGAATATGTATTTATCATTGTATGACCATTGGCAGTCTTCGCGGGTCATCTCGAAGGACAATTAGATGGCGTCTGGTCTAAAATAAGTACGAAATGCTGAAACATACAGAACCCTTACAGTGCTTATTGATTCATTTTGACTTTTTGAAATTTGAATATACATTTAAGTATGTTATGAATAAAATATGAGAATTTTGGTTAAATCGGCAAACATGAATTTGACAGCCAATGTCCCTTTAAGAATACATAGATATTCATTTTTTAATTTTAATTACTTTAGCTTTTTCATTGAAAAAATATCACATTACCAATATCTGAAATGATTGAAATGAAAGCTAATTATCTTTTCCAAAGCAAAAGCAAATAAATTATATGGACTCATCAAAATATCAATATGTTATTCTGAACAAATTGATTATTTTTTGTCATACATTTACTACTGAAAAGATCATTCATTTGAAAAAAATTACATAAAGCAAATATATGATTTGAAGTACAAATGTTACTTTACCTGCCACGATATCAAACACTACTAGATGTTACACATTTGATGTCACCATGAAAAAAATTGAGAAGAAATTTATAACTCTAGCACTTTTGTGTACAGTATCATGGTTGATTTTAAGAATTTATAAAACTAACAATTTTGATCTTCTGGTTGGAACAAATGAATTAACATCGAACTTTTCCAACCAAAGCAGAATTCCAACATTTACTGTTTCAAAAGAAATGCCAAATTCCCAAAGATTTGTACGCAAGGAACTGACTAAAGGAAAAGGTATATCTAACAAAACACTATATAAAGGAACAAATATTTCTACAGAGTTTGAATACTTTTACAGGAACATATCCGAAGACAATTTGGACGATCCTTTGCTTCACAAGCATCAGTATCGAGCATTATTGAACAATAATATAAAATGTAAAGGAAAAGGTGTTTTTGTATTGGTTTTTGTACATAGTTCTGCAGACAATATCTTGGAACGCCAACTGATTCGTTTAACATATGGATCAATTTCGGATTATGAAAATGAACACATTGAATATATTTTTGTGCTCGGACAAACCACAAATACAAGAATCCAACAGAAAATTAATGACGAAAGTGAGAAATATATGGATATTGTGCAAGGTAATTTTGTAGATTCATACAGAAATTTAACATATAAACTTGTATTTAGTTTGTTTTGGGTCAACAACTTTTGCAGTAATGCAAAATTTGTAGCTAAAGTTGACGATGACATTATTATCAATATCCCATTATTAATTCAACATCTTCGACAAAAGACAAAAGGCAATTTGTTAACGAATGTTTTAGAATGTCATATGCTTTCCGAAACCAAACCCAGGAGACAAAAATCCAAATGGAAAACGTCTTTAATGGAGTATCCGTTTCCAACGTTTCCACCATACTGTAATGGATATTCCTCCATTATGTCCATCGATGTCATAAGAAAAATGTATGACACAACTAAGGAAGTACCTTTTCTATGGTTAGAAGATGTTTATGGTGGTGGATTTCTACCCTGGATTTCAAATATTGAAATGCATCAGCCATATTGTTATTGGACATATGTAGTGCATGGAAATATGAACGGAAAGGCATGTACATTATTTTATCTGTCTTATTCGTCAAACATTATATTTCAAAAAGATATATGGGAACAAATATCAAAACAAATCAATGTTTCTTGTAAATGTTGAAATAAACAGTCAGTAAATAGTATAACAACATATTCCGGTAAACAAAGAACATGTAATATATCATTAGCTCACCTGGTGCAAAGGGCCAAGTGAGTTTTTCTCATCAGATGTTCGTCGTCCGTAGTCCGTTAATTTTTACAAAAATCTTCTCCTCTGAAACTGTTGGACATGGCTTAAAATAGAACATAGGGGTAAAATGCAAGTTTTGTCTATCATTTTGAAAACCGTTATGAAAAGGGAAAATCTGACAGAGAAAAAAGGTTCAGAATGTTGAGCTCTACCAATTGTTCATATACGTCAAAACTGTCAGACGTTTTTTGCCCTTAAATGACAATTTTTACCATTTTTGTTTTCAATTTTGTCTATTATCTTAAAAACTATAATAGATAAAAAGAAAGTTTAAATTGCAGAAATGATCAGCAAAACAAGTTTTACAAATAAGTCTAATGGTCGAAATCATCATTTGACTACTTATTAGAGTTATTGCCCTTCAGTGACGATTTTTTACCATTTTTTTTGCGTTTTGCCTATAAAAATTATAATAGATAAATAGACACTTTAAATCTCAAAAATGACCAGCAAGGCAAGATCTACTATCAAGTCATTTTTTGCTGATATAGTTAGTAGACTGTCACTCTTTTTAGGAGTGATTGCTTAAATGAGGATTTTTTTATCCTCTTTGGTGTTTTGAGCAAAAACTAAAGAAGATAGAGAGAAACTAAACAGATTCAATGATCAGCATTAACAGATAAACAAAAAAGAGATTGTTGTCATGAATTCTATTCTCATCTACAATGTTGGAGAGTGTCTTTTCCTTTGTTGAACATGCACATAGACCAAGGTGAGCGACGCAGCTGGCACTTTAGTGACTGTAGTTATAAACAGATGCTAAATATCTTTAGTTCTATTTATGTTAATTTTTAAAGGTTCATAAAGTGCGAATAATTGTCATTTAGGTAATTACTGCATTTAGTGTAATTGATTGTATTTCGTTTCAGTGTAATAATAAACATAATTCAATTGTATATATTCATAAATAATTCAAATTATGTGAAGCTGATATATTCCTGTTTTGTTCTGAACCTATCCTCATTGTCAATTTCTAGATGTAAGTCAAGATATGAGGTAGCTTAGTTTCAATTACAGGTATTTTTTTTTAATTAAAGTTGATTTGGTGTTACGTTGTTAAAATATTATATAAAAAGTATTTTTTATTACTCTCGATAATTATAGCTCTGATATATTATATTAAAGTAAGAGATAATAATGAAACGCAGACAAACAATCAAACACATAATAGATGTTCTGTCATTCAAATATCTTCTTTACTCATCATGCATAAATCATGTTGCAAAACAGGCATTGCAACTTACCTATTAATATTACATAATGAATACATTTTGATATGAAGAAATGTTAAAAATGTTTGTTTATAATATAAAAACTGAGAGGTAATACACAAGTCGATACGATCAAATAACCTGTTATGGTGAGCTCTAATAGTTCCGCCAATAAATTTAGGCACAATTATTAATATAGTTGTTTGCAATATTTGGAAATAAGCGCTTAGCTTTAAGTGTTGACGTTTTCTTGAATTTTAGAAACAGTAATAAAACTGTCTATTTTATGGTGAGAAAGCAACCATATATGAAAAAAGCAACAAACACTCATCAAAGATACTAGGCTTATAATTTGGTAAACCTGACGCATGTTTTGTCTACATAATACCCATCAGTGGCGCTCAATGTAAAACGGGTTGAAGGCTAAATCAAATAAGAATTCGACGATAATTAAAAGCCGAAAATTCCAGAAAGTTGTGCCAAATACGGTTATGGTAATCTACCTTTTTAGGGGGGGGGGGGGTTTAGGGACGACAAACCTAAGTGTTTCGAATATTTCAACATTATATAAATATCAAATTTATAAAAGAAGAACATATTATTGATATTTCATGTCTGCACAAAAGTGCTGACTACTGGGCTGGTGATACTCTAGGGGACGAAAGTCCACCAGCAGTGGTACCGACACAGTGGATGTAACCACTTATCAAAGATACCAGGCTTATAATTTGGGACTCCAGACACACGTTTCGTCTACATAAGACTTATCAGTATCAGTTTCTTGAAACAATATTTTTGCCAAATAAAAGTCCTGTATAATATCTCAAGTGATCTGTTTGAAAGGTGTGTATATTCAACATTAAAGAAGTGAGATGAGACAGGATCGCAAATGAGCAAAATAACAATTTAAGACTAAAACGTCGGTGAACTGGTGCAGCGGTACCAATAGAAAAATAACTCTTCTTATGGATAACAAAATCAATAGTTCACGTCTATAACCTTACTGATTAAAAGATATTTCGAACACACAACTGTACATTTTGAAAATATTAACTGTTAAAGTCATATAAAATGAGTTTCTTGTAATTTCAATATTATCGAAATTATTGAACCAATGAATACATATATACTAAATTAAGTCATGTATGCACGTTATTTTTTTTAAATATTTATTACGAATCTAAATGTATTATCAACAAATAATATTTCTTTCAGTGATTGATGATCGCAAGCAAATTAATGTTCGAGTTTGTTGCCGACGTTTACCAGATCGTGACGTTTAAGAAATAATTCATGGGGGCTTGAATATATCGTGATTTTACCACGGGTAGGCCCTTTATGACAAATATTTTACCCTGAGCGATAGCGAGGGGTAAAATATCGGCATAAAGGGACAACCCGTGGTAAAATCACGATATATTCAAGCCCCCATGAATTATTTCGATTCTAATAGGACAAATACGACAATTGTTTTGGATCGAAGCGCTCTAGATGAAGGCATTATTTGCCGTTCCCATAAATAAACGCACTATTAAATTGACGGAAAAGACCGGAGCAAACTGAATAAATGACAATGTTGAAACTATTTACAATAACATATTTAGATAGGTTTGGATGAATCGAAATGATAATTGTACTTATATGTCTTATATGTATACAAAAATGGCTTATATATCACATTTTTGCATCGTTTTATGTGCTGGTTTATGTTGTTTTATGTATCCGTTTTTATTCTGTAGTTAAGTCACCACTTCGGTGTTATCATGTATATCTATTATATAGTCATTTTTATAAATTTACTGTTTGCAAAAGTATGAATTATTCTAAATACTAAGGATTTTCTTATCCCAGACATATAACCTTAGCCGTATTTGGCACAACTTTTTGGAACTTTTGGTCCTCAATGCTCTTCAACCTTGTACTTGTTTTGGCTTTCGTACTTTTTTGATCTGAGCGTCACTGGTTAGTCTTGTGTGGACGAAACGCGTGTCTTTCGTATTAAATTTTAAACCTGGTACCTTTTGTTAGCTATTATTCGTATGTTTCTCTGTCCTATATGTTCTCACATTTATTTGTATTGTAGTCCTGTTATGTAATGTTGTCATTTTAATGTTATATTTAACATTGCCATAAAAGCGGGAGGTTTGGCTAGCCACAAAACCAGGTTCAACCCACCTTTTTTTTCTTAAAATGTCCTGTACCAAGTCAGGAAAATGGCCATTGTTATATTATAGTTCGTTTCTGTGTGTGTTACATTTTAATGTTGTGTTTCTGTTGTGTCGTAGTTCTCCTCTTATATTTGATGTGTTTCCCTCAGTTTTAGTTTGTAACCCGGATTTGTTTTTTTCTCAATCGATTTATGAATTTCGAACAGCGGTATACTACTGTTACCTTTATATAGCATGTGACAGATAAGTTAATTGATAGAGCCATGGTGTTTTTTTTTTACATTTTCCATGCGTTCCCATTTGTTGATTAAACTTTCCTTAACAGTTGTTAAATATTTTGTTGTTTTAAATTTCTTCTTTAACATGGTACATTCTGTATAGGTAGTGATTTACCTTGACATTTCCGGGTATTACAGAGCTACATATATATTACCTGCATATGGTAAGGTGCCGTCCCATGAGGTCTTACGTATACAGGTTCACGTTTATAATGGCGTTCAATACCCTTTTTCTGATATAACAAGATTTAATGACATTAACACTTCTGAATGTTCTGTATACCAAATTCATATGTTATTTTCAGCCCGAATGAAAATATGTTTATTTTCAAGGAAACATATTGAGTGGTTTTTTTTACTTGGTATTAAATCACAGAAATTTTAAAATACTACTGCTTGTCCGCTATTAAGGAGTATTCTTGTCTAGAGTTGGAATAATGTGTCCTACTGAAGAATATGAAGGACAAGTCTTGCAAAGGTACAATATATAAAGCACAGAAAAATCCGATTCCTCCAGTCTGTCTTAAATACAAATCACAAACGTCTACTTGCACTGAATAATATATGATTAACACGTTTAGCCGATCTTAAAACATTTATAATTACACCCACCTTTACAGTTTTATTTCCTATTTATATTCGAGACCTAGAATTGAAAAAAATATAAAAAACATAACCCTTTCGAATCATGAAAACTTCCGTTTTTATTACTAAAGTAAACTCCTTATTTTGAAGTTGATTGTAATACAGTTACAGTGTTTTTTTTCTTAACCAATGAATATCTAACCGTTTTGAGTCATAAAAGATTTCTGAAATCAAAAACAGTTTGTTCTATTGGATAAATAAAGGAAGATCGTTAGCTGAAGTAGCCCGAAGAACGGACAGATACAGCCAAGTTCCACCAAAAGAGCTCCCGTTGAATATCTAAAACTTACTTCGGTGTTAAATGATTTTGTGTGATTTCGTTTCTTTTTCATCGTGTGAACGAGGTTTTATACATGTTTATATATGAATGTTTTATATATGTGAATATTTACATTGAAGCAAAAGTATTAAAAATTTTCCATGGCGAACTATGTATTGTTTTGGTTCCATTCTACCAGAGACCATGTCTCTGATTCTACTAGGCAAAGTTGACTTTAGATCGTTTCCGATATTGCTTAAACAACTTTTGACCAGGTAACACATACCAAGATTTCAAATATTTAGATTAGAGTGTTTTCGTACATTTTTTAACTGTATAAGGTAAATCAAACGCGCTTTAGATACACCAATTTTATAAAATTTTGGGTTTTCTTTTCGTTTTGCTCAGTCAAATGATATACTCTGATCATAACACTTGATTATTAGTTTCCAAAAGATTATTTCTTCGTTTTTAAACTGATCAAATAAATTTTGATTTTAATAACTTCTCCTTTAATTTGAACATTATTTACCATTTTTATAACATCGGATTTATTCATCCTACATGTATATGAAATAATATCAATATCATGATTTGGCTAACAACGGACCTAACTGTAATTATAATTTAATATTCTACGGCAATCTATTTGTATTTAAGACCTTCTGTCTTATAATCCATTCGAAATGACATTCACACCTGGCACGGTGCGCCCTGGAGACACGGCTAAATACCGATCTGCAAATTACCTTGATTTTATATCAAGCCTTCCATGGGTATTGCCAGGGAATAATACCATTGTATTAACATAGTCCTAGCGTAGAAATGTTTGCTTGAATTAAGGGTCAAAACGCACAGTGACTTATTGTCCTTACAGTTAAAGTTATATTCTCTAATTTTTTTCACCATATTCGTTGGAAAAGAAAATATTTACTTTTTGCGCTGTCAACATGTCAAAATCGAAATATATACGGTAAACTTAGAAAATTTTATCTCATGAGTGTAAAAAGTTGCATGTCTGTTCGTTTTATTTTCTTACTATCGGAGAGTAATTAGCTATAAAAATTAGTCATCGGCGCGCTTATGATTACGTGTTTGTTTGTTTTGTTTTGTGTTATTTTATTTTCTTTCGGGGGATGGGGGATTTGGGAAAAGGGGGGGGGGGTATCTAAAGGTTTCCCAATTTGCTACGGAGCAGGTATCTCAACTGTACGTGTGGTTTTGGAGGTATTTTAATGTTATCAATCCAGGCATATTGGAAAAATTGGAAAAAAATGCCTTAATTCAGATGATCAAAGTCCCGGTTACTCTGGAACGGCAAGACCGAAAATTACGAAACATCAGAAGAGAGTTTTCTTCTTTTGCTTACAACAAATACAGGGTTATCGTACGAAGTGTTGACGGGCGGATAGATGGAGGGACATTGGATTACCATAAAACGTCCCATCAGCAACGGTCCTGTATTTGCTTTTTACATCAGTTACAAAAGCGGTTCCTTCAATTTTGAACCATTTCTTTGGTCCCGTACATGGCAATACTATAATTAAGAAACAAAAACAGATCATATTTGCAAGCTACATTTACATTTTGTTCAACCTATAGTTATCTTTTCATAAATTGTGCTAAATTTACAGAGAAAGTCAGCCAATTTCAAGGTTATATCCGACAACCGAAAATATCAAAATGTGCATTTTTATTACAAATTCATACAAATACTCAGTGGTTTCGTTTGATTGTCCGTCACTGTACAGGAAATAAGAGACATCTATAATACTAAAATAACGAGGTCCAATTTGTTAGTCGGCATGGGGTAAAAATGACGAATCAAAGAATTCAACTTTATATATAACTAATATAGTGCAATGATGTTGATTAAAATTACACCATTCCAGACCGTATTGTTTTCCACATAACTAATATTACCAATGGTTAACAAGTGCCGGTTCGAATCCGATACCGATACCAATAGTTACCTATTACCTAATCTGTACGTTCCGCATCTGTCAGGAGCACCACCAAACGGTGTATTTGGGTCATAATTACACACAAACTTCTTCATTATACCGGGTTGACACTACTTTGTTCAATCATTGCCACATTGTTTCTGGTTGTAGTATTTTAATCAGCATGACTTTATAAGGTGACAATACGAATACCTAAAAATCCAGACTTAAAAGAAGGCGTAGGTACAATAATAAGTAACTCCAGGTCGACGGGTTCAAACAGAATTATTTTAAAAGCAGAGAAAACAGTGCATCTAATAATCAGCATGACTTTATCAGATGACAATATCAATACTAAAAATCCAGGCTAAAAATAAGGTTTATACATAATAAGATACTTTAATTCAGTCACGGACCCCTCGATGTCGCGGATGTGTTCTGGTATGTATGAATCGAAACTATATTTGCCGTTTCAATTGAACACAGTGTAGTTTGAGAAGATTGATCAAGGTACCATTTGTTTAGGAGGAAAAAGACTCTTCTTTCTATAAAATGTACATACATGGCATTTGTTGGTGCTGACAAGTAGTTCTTTGATAGTCTCTATTTAATTCATTCACAATCTTTACAATGTTTCAGACAAAATTTAGGGCTAGGTATATTATTTAGTCGCCCGTCTATTTAGTATTGTTGAAGACCATATGTCGACGTACTCATAATTGACCTAACTAGATATAGGGAGATGTGGTATGAGTGCCAATGAGACAACTATCCATCCATGTTACAATTTATAAAAGAAAACAATTATAGGTCAAGGTACGGCCTTCAACATTTCATTAACATTTTCTTTTGTAAGAGAAAAAAATACAGAGGAAAGTGCCAGTGATGATCGATATAATTTTTATTTTGATCAATGATTTCTGAGAAATGACAAAATCAAAACACAAAGGTAACATTAATTGTACATGTAAACAAAGACATACACTTGAACACGAAACATAAACGTATCAGTGAAAAATTTCGGGGTTCACCGTTCTGTCTTTGGTCTCGTTTCCAACCATCTTTTGATTTTCGGAACGGCTTTGATTCTTTCGGTTATTTTGTTGAATTCCTCTGGAAAAGTTTTTTTGTGTTTCCAAACGGCTAAAACATGTTGTGTGAAGTCAAATACGGCTAGATCTGCCCAAGTTAACTAAAAAAAACAAAAAAAAACAACCGATATACATTGAACTTAATTCACATGTAGACTGCTTATAACATAAAATATAAAAAAAATATATAGGCTGTCAGGTGAATATATGACACTTCTGTCATTTTCGCATTCTTTTTCCGTTTGTGAAATATAAGCGTCTTTTTTTACTAACATAGTCTAAATATTTAGCCAGATTTCACAAAACAAAAAATACATATGTCTTCATTAACGTCAGATATACAATACGAGAAGTATAGCTTTGATATTCAAATCCATATCTTCAATTCATTCTTCAATTTTTTCTCATCAAGAATATGCATGAAATATTGGCGGCTGGATATTAAGCGGACAACAAGCAAATCAATCATTCAATATCAAATCAACTAGTAATAACGTGGTGATATTGACAAATGGAGTAAATGAAGGCAACAGTAGTATACCGCTGTTCAATAGTTATGAGTCGATTAAGCGAAAACAAAACAAATCCGAGAAACAAAAATAAAGATAAGAAGACTGATGAGACAACTCCCCACAAGAGACCAAATTGACACAGAAGTTAACAACTATACGTCGTTTTATGGCCTTCAACAATGAGCAAAGCCCATACCGCATAATCAGCTATAAAGGCCCCGAAATGACAAATGTAAAACAATTCAAACGAGAAAACTAACGGCCTAATTTATGTACATAATAATGAACGAAAAACAAATATGTTTCACAGCAACAAACAAGTCTATTTTGTGTTTATTTTCATGTTCGTTCGGGTGTGAGTAAAGCTAATAAAAAATATTTGAAGAACAAAATTAATTGTTACTTACATCATTTCCAACAAGATAATCTCCTCCATTATCGTTTAACGTCTTCTCGATGAATAACATAAATTTGTGCAATACCTCCTCAGCTAGATGTTTGCTAATGTCTGCCTGAAATATTTTCAACATTCCTCAAGTTCATAAAATATGTTAAAAATTGTAAACGTAGACCTTTATCACATATATGTAACTGACTTTGTTTTTGAAAAATTAAAACATTAACTAAATATCTATAGCTATATATGTACAGTTATGAGAACGAATGATCCTACATCCTGTCGAGACTGTTTATTTATATTTTGACATTGCACAAAGTCTTGCGTTTCTCAGACTATCCATGACGACATTACACTTAATTCGATGGAAGTGTACTGGTGATACTTTAGTTTGGGAAAACATGATTTTTACATTATATAGTTGTAATTGGCTTTGAACTAGCTTTCAGTAACTGCGACTACTCTTATTTCGATGCTTTGTGTCTATTGCTTTTATGTTGGTATTGTGCCTCGTACCGACCTTTTGAGTTTTAAGCCAATTGCGACTGATTTTTACAGTTATGTTTGTGCTGTTACACCAAAGTACCAGGTTAGAGGAGGGTTGATCGCGCACACACATGTTTAAACCCGCAACATTCTGTATGAGCCTGTTCCTAGTCAGAAGCATGTAGTTCAGTGGTTGTCGTTGGTTCATGTCTGTCATATTTTCGTAAATTGTTTTGTTATAAATCAAGCGGTTCGTTTTCTCGTTTGAATTGTTGTACATTTTTCATGTCGGGGCCTATTATATATTATTATACGGTATGGGTTTTCTCATTGTTGAAGGCCGTACAGTGGTCTATGATTGATTACTATCACTTCATTTTAACTCTGGTTGATAGTTGTCTTATTGACAATCAAGCCATATCTCCTCATTTTGATATAGAAATTTTCTATGAAAAAGAAGTAGCGAATTTATATTATCTTTTATCAAATAAACATAGAATAATGTCATTTCAGGAAAAAAAAAATGTTTAAAATTTTAAAAATTTTCCCCAATTAACTGTTATATATTACCTTTTTAGCTTCATCCTTTTCAAAAATGTACTTTCGAAGTTTTGGTCTAACATCACAATGAATAGTATCTATGATAATATCACACATTGTATTTTCCATATTAGTCTTCCCATATAAACCTGAAATAAGTCTACAGTGTAAAATCATCAAATAATCAGATCAAATCTGTTTGTTTTGTTTGTTTCTTAGGTATTAGCATGGTAAGTTTTATTTTGTTTTGCATTGTATAATTTGCTAATTTTCAAAGAATTTTAAAATTGGATCTGCCTTTTATTTTTTTGTACAAATGACATTTAATTATGACCCAAGCAAGAAACATTTCGGTAATGAAAACATATACGGTTGGACCAAAACAGAATTCTGCTAGTACTCTCAGGTCTGCACTTAGTGTCTTTTTGTTTAGGGGATGTATAAGTACCCTGCAAAGTCCACTCTATGTTTTGTTAGATGTATTTCTGCTTTGTATCCGTCTGATGAGTTAAGCCCTTTTCAACTGATTTTCATAGTGTGTTCTAATGTTGTACTGTAACGCCACTGTCCCAGGTTAGGGGAGGGTTGGCACCTTCAAACTAGTTTAACCCCACCACATTCCATATGTGCCTGTTCCAAGTCAGTAGCCTGTAATTCAGTGGTTGTCGTTTGTTGCTGGATATCATATTTGTTTTTCGTTCATTATTTTGTACATAAATAAGGCCGTTAGTTTTCTCGTTTGAATTGTTTTACATTTGTCATTTCGGGGCCTTTTATAGCTGACTATGTGGTATGGGTTTTACTCATTGTTGAACGCCACACGGTGACTTATAGTTGTTAATTTCTGTGTCGTTTGGTCATTTGTGGAGAGTTGTCTCATTGACAATCATACCATATCTTCTTATTTTTATATCTACAGTTGAGTCAAAGTTCTAAATATATGTTATTCCATTTTAAATTATCTTTTTGATTTCATACCTCTTCCCTACGCAATATAAATGCAATTGTCACCTGCTTGCCAAAGGGGGTTGAAGCAGGAAGGAGTGTGGTTTTAAAAATGTTTAATGACAAATACTCCGATCCAGTCAAAAGTACTAAAACAATGTACAAAATGTATTTGTCTGATTTTCATTCGCTAGCGCTGGGTCGAAACCATTGCCTAATTGTTGACTGCTTGTCCCCGAGGGTATCATAAGCTGCGTAGTCCGTGCTTCTGTAATGACATGATTTGTAACATTTTTTTCTCTGAAATCCCCAGATGATAAATTAAAGAATAATTTTAAAAGGTTAAGATTCAAACTCCCACAATTAAATTTCACCTTATATGAATTTTATTTCTTTTGGACCCCTCGAAGATTTGTTTGAACTTGCAAGAGTTTTTAAATGAACAGAGAGCATGGTACTCACTCTACACGGAAAATCATGTTAAAAAAGGTTATGAGGTGTGTTCGACTTGTGACTAAAATTAAAGCAAAACACTATTAAAAAGTAAAATAACAAAAATACCAAACTCCAAGGAAAATTCAAAACGGAAAGTCCCTTATCAAACGGACAAATCAAAAGCTCAAACACATCGAACGAATGGAAAACAACTTTCATATTCCTATCTTGGTACAGGCATTTCCTTATGTAGAAAATGGTGGATTACATCTGGTTTTATAGCTAGCTAAACCTCTCACTTGCATGACAGTAGCATAAAATTCCATTATATTGACAACAATGTGTGAACAAAACAAACATATCTTGGCATTGCACAAGGTCATGTTTTTCTCTGACTGTTTATGACGTCTTTACACTAAATCCATTGGATGTTAGATATGTACTGATTGATAATTTAGTCTTGGATGCATGATTTGTTTTATTAGTTGTTTGTGTCTTTGAACTAGCTGTTAGTAACTGCGAGTACTCTCAGATCTGTGCTTATTGTCTTTTTGTTGATGGGATATACAAGTACCCGGCCACGTCCACTCTGTGTATTTCTTAGATGTATTTCTATTTGTATCCATCTAATGATTTTACCCTTTTTAAACTGTTTTTTATAGTTCGTTCTTATGTTGTACTGTTACACCACTCTCCCAAGTTAGGGGGAAGGTTGGATCCCGCTAACATGTTTAATCCCGAAACATTCTATATGTATGTGCCTGTCCCAAGTCAAGAGCCTTTAATTCACTGGTTGTCGTTGATGTAAGTAACAATTAATTTTGTTCTTCAAATATTTTTTATTAACTTTACTCACACCCAATAATTATTAATAAGGTCTTGGTATCTTCCGATGAACTTTTCTGGAAAAAGGACGAGACGTTCTTTCACACATCCTGGTTCATCAACTTTCTGCTCATTCACTGGTGACGTTTTATAAAGTCTGAGTAGCAGCTACAAGCTCTTGAATTCTGAATGAGTTGGGAAATGTATATCCCATATGCAGGTGAGGTTGGTATACTGCTGCTTAGGTGGAGGAAATTGATAATTTCAATATTAAAATCATCTCGTTTGTCAAAGATTCTAGTACTGAGATGACCGTTTATGTCAAATTCGAGGTATAAGTCTAAAAATGAGGCGGATGATGCCTTGTCTGTAGTTTCTTTAATTTTTAGTTCTGGAGAATATTTTAATGAAGCCCAATCATAAAAGTTTGGAGGTTAATGAAAAGAACATCATCAATACATCGGAGTGTGAAATTAAATGATCTGGCTTCTTGAAATCAAAGTCCATCATACTAACAAAATATCTATTAAATACTATCAATCAGTAATTAATCTTGAACTGTCGATATTTTGTATGTTAAGAAACTAGATACGTAAAACTTAAACTATAGCGGTCTCTATGGTAGAAGTCAGATTTTTTAAAGGGCCACGGCTCCAGAGATGAACATTCTTTGTATAAACCATCTCCGGTGGAAAAAATAACACAGATTCCACACGCATTTAGGGTTTAGCGTGTGAGTTATTGTGGAAGTTATTTGACACTATACATAATATGATACAATAATATTTTGCATGTAATTTCATACAAAACAATCAATATATTTTAAGGTTTAGTCGGTGATTTGTTTAGTTATTTATATTACCAAATTCTCTGGCGAGATACCTCTCGATAGCTCTTGATTGAGGAATCTTCTTCCCATTTACTGATAAAATCGGGACTTTTCCTAGTCGTGTAGCTATAA